TTTTGTGTTGTAGTGATACATACTTTAATTGTTAATATTTTCACATTATTTGGAAAGGTAAAAAACTAAACATGTGAAACATATGGTACCCAAATAAGCAGTGCCAAAAAGGAAACAGAAAGGCAAGTTTCATAGTTGTGAATAGAGAGCTTTTAAATGAATGCGATCATAAATCAGTATGTAAGTGAGTGTGTGTATGTGTGTGTGAGAGATAGAGAAAGAGAGAGAGAGAATGTAAAGATAAAATATATATTGAGTGGTTGGCATGAACTTAAGAATCAAAGAATTTCTACTAAGAGCTTAAGAGATTTTCTTTAGCGATTTCATCAAATTATCCTGAAGATCTGAACTGTGCAGTGTTTGAGGATAATCATTCCTGTATTCTTTATTGATATATTTTTAAAAATTTTATTAAAGCACCATGACTTACAATGTTATTCACTGTTGAGTTTTAGATGTGCAATATTGCAGCACCACTCTCACCACCAGTGTCAGTTTGCCTCCTCCAATGTTCCCAGGTTGCCTTCAAATTCCCAGTTACCCCTCCTCACACAGCCTGCCCTCCTGACAGTTCGGTTGTTAAAGTTTGGGTCTCTGTATTTCAGTTTTGTTGACTCTGTGGTTTGGATATTTGGCTCTGTCATTCCTTAACACAAACTTTGTACCACCATCCCCTGACCTGGTCTCTATTGCTCCTACTCCCATCCACTCTTTCTTTCCTACTCCTCCCTATAGGGCCATGCTTGATCTGGGAACCCCCCCTTTAAAACATGGCATTCCCTCATTTAGTTATTCCAAATACCACATATAAGCAATATCATCCCGTGTTTATCCTTCTGGTTTACTTCATTTAACATTATGGCTTCCAGTTTTATCCTTGTTGTTCCCAAAATGTAACATATGAAGAGTGCCCAAATAAGCCATCTCTCCTTTCCTCCCTCATTTAATGCTTTATTGCATATCTATCAGGTGCCTAAGAAGACCCTAAGAAGAGTTCAATTCTGGTAGATGTTTGCCTTAGAGATTTCAAATACAGAATGTATGAACTTGAAAGATCCTTGTATTATATCAAATCTAAAAATCATCTGCATTCAGAATGTACATGCATGCCCTACTATAATTGTAATAAAGCAATTAATTTTATTTTATAAATATTCCCAATAAGCCAAATTTGTCAAGTTACACTTGCCACAATATTTGATTTGCCACTGTATGGCTACTCAGGGCTATGTATTTGAAAGAACTGCCTGGATGTGTGCATTTGAGTGTGAGGAACCTCTAATCAAAGTGAAAATAAAATCTTAGTAAGAAAGAAGAATGCAATTAACTAGCTTGAATTTGGCCAGTTGGTAAGACATACTCTATCAACTACTAAAGAAGAAATTTTAAGTATGGGCAATCTGTCCTCCTAGCAATAACCCCAAAGCTGGAATAGTCCCTTGGGAAAAGCAGGAAAAAAAAGTGCCTCTCACAGAAGCAGACTGGTGGGTAGAAGGAAAACAGGGATTGAGGGATGCACTGGTGGAGGAAGTGGACACTGTTGAAAGGATCAGTGTATGCCTGAAACCCAGTTATTATGGGTGACAATTTTTTTTCACTGTATCATCATATCACTGTCATCCTGTTATTCATCAATTTGCTCTAGCAGGCACCAGTAACGTCTGCATTTGTCCTAGCCCTGAGATTTTAGCAGCCTCTTCTTACTCATCTTTCCCAGTGGTGCCACACTGGAGGCTCTTTCAGGGTCAGGGGAATGAGACACATCATTGTTACTGTTTTTGGCATATCGAATACACCACGGGAGCTTGCTCTGCTGTGTGGACAGGATACTCTTGGTAGCTCTCCAGGTTCACTGAGAAGGAGAACTAGACTATAAGAGATCGCATGCTTCCAGGAGCTTTGTTTTATAGTCTCTGGATCTTGGCCATTGATGGGATTTCATGGCGCCGGGGGCAGTTTGTGGGTATGACTGCCTAACTACTGGAAAATGGGGGATCTGGGTGGAGGAGTTCCAGTCCCGATCCAAGCAGGCTTGGAGATCTCAGCCCTGGGACTGACGCACCTGGGTTCCTCTGCTGGTTCCTTCATGCATGGGCCTCCTCCACCCAGATCCCCCATTTTTCAGTAGCTAACCAGTTACACCCACAAACTGGCCCCAGTGCTATGAAATCCCATCAAAGGCCCATACCCAGAGACTATAAAACAAAGCTTCCAGAAGAGAGCAAAGCAGAGTCTCCTGCCAGCGTTCCTAGCTGTCCTCACTGGAGCCCCTCAGAGGGGGGCAGTTCTGCTCCCCGCCCCGAGCAGAACCCTGACAGCTGAAGACCTCTGGGACCCAGCCAAAGTCATGCACAAGGCCACTCTCCACATGTTTGGATGAGCCTCACGCATGAAGGAACCATCAGAGGAACCCAGGTGTACAGGACCCGGGGCTGAGATCTCTAAGACTACATGAATTGGGACTGGGTGTCCTCCACCCAGATCCCCCATCTTCCAGTAGCTTGGTAGTCACACCCACAAACTGCCCCCGGTGCCATGAAATCCCATTAACGGCCAAGATCCAGAGACTATAAAACCAAGCTCCCAGAAAAGAGCAACGTAGAGTCTCCTGCCCACATGCCTGACTGTCTTCACTGGGGCCCCTTCAAGGGGGACAGGTTGAGTTTCCCTCCCCGCCCTGAGCAGAACCCTGGGAGTCACAGACCTCTGGTACCCAGCCACTGCCATGCTCAAGGCCACTCTCTACACACACTTGGACAAAATTTTTTTTAATAAAAAATTAATTTTTTATAGAATGTAATCCAGGTAAGCAAAAAATATGCCCAGGAAAGAATAGAATAGCTTGCAGGAAGGGCAAAAATGCTCCCACTAAAGAATATAACAAAACAGTTTAGCGTCTTTAAAGGTAGAGGGCAATATAGGAAAAAGCGGAATAGGAAATTCTCAGGACCTTACTTTATACTTTAAGGGTGCCACTGAATGGAGGTCAAAGGTGCCAATCTGAAAGTGCCAAATCTGTTTCAGACACTTGATAAGGTTAAAATGCGTTTCTCAAGTCCAGTCCTAGCTTCTTGACAATCCTACCGGAAAAAATTCAGAGCCCTAGAAGTTTAGATATCTGGCATGAAAACCTCTCCTGGGGAAAAATTCATTAATTTTCTATGTACGTACAGGAACGGTCGTACAGTTTATATTTAGAAAAACTCTCTTACTGTCTGAGAATGTATTTTCTCAAAGTGAGAAGCCAAAGTTGTAGAACGAAGTATAGCATGTTATCTTGTTGTTAGAAACTGACTGCTGCTCAAGAACAATATAACCAATCTTAAATCTAATAAGGCAAAGCTTGTTGATCATATACTCGATGAGTCTCAAAAGCCAAGAACCCACTCAGTCCACATTGTTTCTCTTCTCCGTGTGTGGAGAAACAATTTTGTGGTGTGGAGACATCAATATCAATGCATTCAAGTCACAAGTCCTCACACAGTTGGTCCAGAAGTTATCACTAGTCAGCTTGATCCCTGCTAGGATGCTTACTATTTCAGGAGAGGAAAACTAAATCACTCTTGCAACATGTTAATTATTAAAGAACCCTCTGTCATCTTAGTAATTTTTAGATACAAAACACATTCAATAAACTGCACATAAAAAGTCTTATACATTAAATTTGTATTTTTTTCCTTATATACATACATGATGACCTCTTAGTATCTGTACTGCAAACCAAAATGCCCTAAAGTGGAGAGAAAGTAAGAAGGAATGTATCTGCCACAGAGGCAGGGTTTGGGATAGGTTGGGGTGGTGGGAGGGATACTGGGAACATTGGTGGTGGAAAATGTTACTGGTGGAGGGATGGGTGTTCAATCATTGTATGACTGAAACTTAATCATGAAAGTTTGTAACTCATGGTGATTCAACAAAAAAATTAAAAAATAAATAAAAGTTTTAGAAAAGAAAAAAATAACTATTAGCTAAGATTTAAGTTCAAGGGCAACCTATTAATGATATATTTCTTAGGGTCATGTCTTAAAATATTTCCAGAAGGATTCTGCATGTTGCAAATAATTTAATGCTGCTATTGTATTGTGATTTTATCCTACAAATAGGATATTTCAATACAATAATTGAATTGGATTCTTTTTCTTGGAATATTTAATATAAAATTTTCAATAATCAATGTGATAGATACATTTTGATACCTGCTCTCTACTGAAGAATTCTCACTTCAATTTATTGGGCATTCTTTTTAAAATGTCTAGTTCTCATAGCAGGCCCTCATTTATCTTCTCTTCCTTCTTTCTTTTCTTTATGATTTATTGTAACTGGACATATTGAGACATTCAATCAACACATTTATTGATTACCTTGAAGGCACTGTGTCAGATTGGACAGAAATCAAAGACGTTTAAGAGGAATTTTCAAGAGAATATAATATATTATCAAAGGTAGACATAGAACAAAAAATATTTTTTTAATTTTTGCTTACTTCTTAAATTAAGAATTTAAATATGTCTTTTATGTGTCAAATGGCATGTAACTTTAGAATGATGTAATAAAGAATGTAACTAAATGTAACTAAAGAACGATGTAATAAAATCATTCTAAGAATTTTTATAGAAACAGTTTAGCTCTGAGGGCTAGAGCATGATCAAATCCAAAGATTTTTATTACTTCATGCATACAATGTCAGCATCCCTACATCATGTCTCTTCCACCATCCACTCCACCTCCTTAGCAAACTCATTTTTTGGTGTGCTACAGTTTTGATAATTGTTTGCAATAAAAAACAAATTTTTAACATTATTTATGGATTCAGGGAGGTGGTTTAAAGGGCTCTATTAGATCACATGTGTTACATATATGATACTCATGTTTCAATTCTCATTACTCCATATTTCCCCAGCACTATTGGACCCAGACACTAAATGTACTGGGAGTAAACACCAAGTATCACTGTGTGACTCAAAAAGTAAAATGGAAAGAAAGAAAATATTATTTCCTACCAGACAAGGCTGTCAAATTTGCATTTTTGATAAAAACTTCAGTTATTCCAAGAGTCTTCAAAACATCTTTTAAATCAATTTCTTGTTCCACAGTGAACCTGAATAGCACATAGGGTAACATGCCTTTAGTTACAACATATTGTTACTTGGGACAAGAATAAAATGTTAGATATGTTGATTTAAAAAGTTAGCATTATACATGGAAAAGAATTTTAAAGACTTTTGAGAGTAGTACTTGCTTGTGCTTATACAAGGAGGAGATATCACAGACAGTAACAAATTTGTTATTGTTAGATTTGTAGTTAGAAACAACTTATAATATGGACACAAAACTGTGGTATAATAAATATTTTGTTATCAAGAATCATCATCAAGGGCTGGATAGTAGTTCAGCAGGTAGGGAGCTTGCCTTGCATGTGACTGAACCAGGTTCAAGCCACGGCATTCCGGTCCATGGATCACTGGTCAGCTGATCACTGAGCACAGAGCCAGGAGTAAGCCCTAAGCATAGCTAGGAGTGACCATCCAAAAACAAAAAAGACAGTAATGAAGTTAAAAGGTCAAGTTTATGGTTGAGATCCACCCTAGTGGATCTGGAGAAGTAGCAAGTCAGGGGTTGAGAGTTTAGTAGGCTCTTGTTCTCTTGTTCATGGAAAGTATGATCAACAGATTAAAAAAAATGCATATCAACATGCTCTAATTTAGGTTTAACAATGTTCATTTTGTTTTCTGCTTAAATAAAGCAGATATTATCTGTAACGGTAGAACTGTTCCCTGGACTAAAGCAATAGTACAATGGGTAGGATGCTGCCTTGTGTGCTACGGACCTAGGTTCCATTCCCAATACTACACAAGGTCAGCCAAGCCCTGCCAGGAGAGATCCTTGGGTGAAGACCCAGGAGTAAATTCTGAACAATGAAAAGCGTGGCCACAAAACAAAACAAAACAAAAAGCAGAACTGTTTTCTGGTACACTCTATAAAAGGTGAGTCAATAGGAAATATGACTAATTATTTTTGATGGCTTGACTCAGATGTTTGTGCATATGTTTTATAGTTGCTATTATTTACTTTTTGGATTAATTTTATATAACAAGTTATGTTCTAAGAGTATTAAAAACAGGGACCAGTGCGATAGTACAGTGGGTAGGGGCATTTGTCTTGCACTGGGCTGACCCGAGTTCAATCCCCGGCATCCCATATGGTCCCACAAGCACCGCCAGGAGTAATTCCTGAGTGCAGAGCCAGGAGTAACCCCTGAGCACGACTGGATGTGACCCAAGAAGAAAAAAAGAATATTAAAAACAGATTAATTTCAAGTCACTATATTCTTTGGAGTGGTAGCACAGCGGTAGTGCGTCTGCCTTGTGCGCAGCCTGTCTGGCTGAGCTGGGTTCGATTCCTCCGCCCCTCTCGGAGAGCCTGGAAAGCTACCGAGAGTATCTCACTCTCACGGCAAAGCCTGGCAAGCTCCCCGTGCTGTATTCAATATGCCAAACACAGTAACAAGTCTCAAAATGGAGATATTACTGGGCCCGCTCGAGCAAATCGATGAACAACAGGAGGACCATGACCGTGATATTCTTTGAATGCTTGTTATCACTCTCAATCAACAGAAGAAACTGAAGGGCAAAAATATGAAATAATTAAATCAAAGTTCTACACCGATTAGCATAACAAGAATATGGATCCAGGTGTTTCATGTAAGTACTGATTCACCTAAAATAGGAAAATGAAGGCAGATGTCAGTAGGGGTTTCTTAATTCTTAAAAGCATCTTGATTTGTTTCACACATCTGAGGCTGTCATTTTAAGTGAGAATGATTTATTAAAAGAAATGAACTTGGGTAAGTTCCATAATCTCTGAGCCTCCGTTTGGTAACTGGAAAATAATACCAAATATTCAGTAGTATTGTTGAAGAGGCTAAATCGGGTTTCTGAAAATTTGCTATTACTTTAACTGTAAATTAGTCATTAGTCAAGGAGGCTTTTTTGGGGGGGGCTTTCAGTCACCCCCCCTCCCGGTGCTGTGCTCAGTACTTAGCTATTTCTGCCTCTATGCTCAGGAATCTCTCCTAGACCTTATGTGTTTAAATCTGGTTGGCCGGAGGCTGGGCAAGTCCTTTATCCTCTATGCTATTTCTCTTATCCAAATTAGTCAAGTCCTAATTAATATAACCATCATAGTATCTAGCCTAGAACAAACCACATAAGTCGATGTAAAATAAAATTTATTTTTCTGAGTTTTTCTTCAAAGTTGAAAAGAAAATGTAAATAATCTCCAAGTATTTATTCTTTGTCTTTTTTTTTTTTTTTGCCTTTTGGATCACACCCAGCGATGGTCAGGGTCACTCCTGGCTCTGCACTCAGGAATTACTCCTGGTGGTGCTTGGGGGACCATATGGGATGCCGGGGATCCAACCTGGGTCGGCCACGTGCAAGGCAAACGCCCTACCTGCTGTGCTATCTCTCCGGCCCCTCTTTGTCTTTCTTTTCTATATCAAATTGTTTAAAAAAAATCAACTAGTATTCATTTATAGTCTCATCCTAGTAAATGTAGGCAGGTGTTAACATAAACATTCATTATCTCTCATCGAATAATTGAATGCTTACTTTGTTCCAAGCACTAAAAAAAAGTTCCAGCACTGCTGTTAAAAAACACACACACATACAGGTGGGAGAGAGAGCACAGTGGATAAGGAGCTTGCCTTGCATGTATCTGAGTGGGGTTTGATCCCCAGGATACAGAATGGTTCCCTAAATACTGCCAGAAAAAGTTCTAAATGCAGAAACAGGAGGTGTAAGCCCTGAGCACACAGGATGTGTTTCCCCTCTTCAATAAATAAATAAATAAATAAATAAATAAACAAAAACCAACAACAACAACAAAAAGCTCAAGTCAAATGGTTTGTATAATGGTTTTATTTTACAAATGCAAAGTTGAAGTTCCTTAGAAAGAAAATAATTTCAAAATAACATGATGCTTCTTGGGGGTGCAGGGGTGCTTTGGACCACACCCAGTGTTGCCCAGGGCCCACTCCTGGGTCTGCTCAGGCATCACTCCAGATGAGGCGCAGGGGATGGTATGTGGAACTAGCAGTCAGACAAGTGTGTTACTACTGTCCTATCTCGTTCATCCAAAATGTTTCTCAGGACTTATTTTATATCTTTAATTTCTAGCTTTCTAATCATGAATGAAAATTTTGAAACCATGGAAGTCAGAGTGTAAAGATACTATGGTTTGGCACTTCTGGATTCCAAGTATTAAGATATTTGATTTTAGAAAAATCTTATACCTAAGCAATATAAGTACAATGGAAAAGCAAGCGTGTACAATGAATTGAGTTTTAAATTTTTACTTAGAATTCCAGAGAGATAGTTCAATAAACTGGACCACACGATTTGCATGCAGACTCACTGGGTTAGATCCTTCACATAAAGTCCTGCAAGCACCACCATTAATGACCATTGAGCACTAATCTTGAAGTAACCCCTATGAATACATCGGCCCCAAAATAAAACAAGTAACAACCAAAAATTCCACTTAGGAATTATAGATCCACTTGTTTAGCACAAGAGAAATACTAATATTTTTTAAAAATAAAGTTAAAAAATATATGATTTTCTGTGGTAGTCATTGCTCTAATGTACTTTATATGCTACACATAGATTTTGCATGTGAGTTAGCTATTTGCCATAAGTAATAGTTTAAAGATGATATAGAAACCTATTTTACAATTTAGAAATATATGACCTTATACAAATCATGTGGCATTTCAATGGGTTCAGTGATATCCCATAGGCATAACTATCTTCCCCTCTTCTAAATAGATTTTTTTGTTCGGGATAAAAAAAATACAATCAATTAAGCTTCTATCAATTCAGCATCTAATCAATGTAGCATTTATTTCTCAGGGGAAAAGCAACAAAAATGAAAAAGCAACAGTTCCTTTGTCCTGTCCCCAAAATATCATATATTTCTTAAGGGCAACATTTTAATGTTATTTTAATGAAATCTAATAGAAATCAGAGTACTACCCTAAAGAATCTATAGAAAATCTCCTAGAAACAATAGGTTGGTTTTAGTAAAGTGGCAGGCTACAAAATCAACACCTAAAAGTCCATGGTTTTCTTATATACAAATAATAAAAGAAGAAATAGACATTTAAAGAAGAATCCTGTTCACAATGGTACCTCAGAAAATCAAGTACCTCAGAATCAGCTTAACCAAAGAGGTGAAGGACCTATACAAAGAAAATTACAAAACACTACTTCAAGAAATAAAAGAGGACATTAGGAAATGGAGACACATACCCTGCTCATGGATCGGGATGATTAACATTATCAAAACATTATACTGCCCAAAGCACTATACTAGTTCAATACTGTCCCTATAAGGATACCCATGACAGTTTTCAAAGAAATAGACAAAACATTCCTGAAATTCATATCGAACAATAAGCCTCCATGAATAGCTAAAACAATCCTTGGGAAAAAGAAGATGGGTTGCATCACCCTCCCAAATTTCAAACTGTACTACAAAGCAATAGTAATTAAGACAGCATGGTACTGGGCTAGAAACAGACCTGCAGACCAATGGAACAGAGTTGAATATTCTGTCACAAACCCCCAGATATATGACCACTTAATCTTTGACAATAAAGCAAGAAATGTGAAGTGGAATAAGGAAAGCCTCTTCAACAAGTGGTGCTGGGAAAACTGGATAGCTGTCTGCAAAAAAAATGAACTCTGAGCTCTATCTAATGCCAGGCACAAAAGTCAGATCAACGTGGATTAAAGACCTCAATATCAGACATGAATCCATAAGGTACATAGAGGAAAATGTAGGCAGAACTCTCTACGACATTGAAGCTAAAAACATCTTTAAGGATGAAACAGCACTGACCATGCAAGTGGAAGAAAACATAAACAAATGGGACTACATCAAACTAAGAAGCTTCTGCACTTCAAAAGAAACAAAATACTGAAAGAGTCCACAGAATTGGAAAGAATATTTACCCAATACTCATCTGATAAGGGATTAATATCCAGGATATACAAGACACTAGTAGAATTGTACAAGAAAAAAACCTCCAAACCCCATCAAAAAATGGGGAGAAGAAATGAACAGAAGTTTCCTCATAAAAGAAATACAAATGGTCAAAAGGCACATGAAAAAATGCTCCACATCGCTACCCATCAGGGAGATGCAAATCAAAACAACAATGAGATATCATCTCACACCCCAGAGACTGGCACACATTCAAAGGAACAAAAACAGTGCTGGCGTGGATGTGGGAAAAAAGGGACACTCTTTCACTGTTGGTGGGAATGCCCAATAGTCCAGCCTTTCTGGAAAACAATATGAACAGTCCTTCAAAAACTAGAAATTGAGCTTCCAAATGACCGTGCAATACCACTTCTGGGAATATATCCCAAGGATGCAAAAAAGCACAATAGAAATGACATCTGTACCTATATGTTCATTGCAGCACTGTTCATAATGGCCAAAATCTGGAAACAACCCAAATACCCTAGAACAGATGACTGATTAAAGGAACTTTGATATATCTACACAATGGAATACTATGCAGCTGTCAGAAGAGATGAAGTCATGAACTTTGCTTATAAATGGATAAACATGAAGACTATCATGCTAAGTGAAATGAGTCAGAAGGAGAAGGACAGACGTAGGACTGCACTCATTTTTGGAGTACAAAATAACATGAGACTGACACCCAAGTACAGTAGAAACAAGGGGCAAGGAAGAATGCTCCATAGTTGGAAGCCTGCCTCGTGAGCGGGGGGAGAAGGTGGCTGAAATAGAGAAGGGTTCACTAAGAAAATGATGGTTGGAGGGATCAGCTAAGATGGGAGACATGTGCTGAAAGTAGATAAGGGACTAAACATGATAACTTCTCAGCATCTGTATTGCAAACTATAATGCCCAAAAGTAGAGAGAGATATGGGGAAAATTGTCTGCCATGGAGGCAGGGGGAGGGTGGGAAAGGAGGGGTATACTGGGGAATGTGCACTGGTGGAAGGATGGGTGTTTGATCATTGTGTGATTGTAACCCAAACATGAAAACTTGTAACTATCTCACCGTCATTCTATAAATTAAAAAAAAAAGAGATCAAAGTACTTCAAAAGCAGTTCAAGATTATTGTCAGAAATGCAAAGCTGAATAAATATTCCTCTCTATATATGAATAAAACTATAGCAACCATTTAAAACAAACACTTGAATAAACCTAGAACATAATTATGAGTAAATTTTTTTAACTTTAATTTGGTTACAGAAATCATAACCATTAGAAAAATTTAGTAGCTTCTAATGCTGTAAGATACAGAAGGTAGTTTCCCAATGATTTTTGTTTTTGCATGAGTATTATAGGGTAGTAAGTACTATAAAAAATTAAACAAATCTATCTCATCTGGCCAGATAATATTCATATAATGTATTACCCATGTAGAGAATTCATTGAATCCTGGAGAGATGGATATGTGGTAATTAACTGTGCCTCATTTATAACAGGAATTAACAAGAGCTAGCAAATGAAACTATTTTACAATTGGAGTATACCTCTAAAAAAATAAAAAATATAGTTTTCTTCTGCTTGTCACATTCAGTTTCTTAGTGGCCAGGACCTAAAGGCCACATTTTCTAGTGGATATGGTTGAACTGAATTTAATACACTTATTATACATTCATTTAGAATTCTGTAATAATAATCCTGAATAACTTCACTTTCTCACAAAATTGAAGCATTTGGAGATGTTGCACTTAATTTATGGAATTGAATATTGGAAGCATTAATGCTGTACTGAAATTCTTATGTTGTCAAAATAAATTATATAGTAAAAAATTACTAATAAAATTTTACTAGATTTAGTAGGGTGTTTGCCTTGCATGCAGCCAACTGGGCTGACTCAGGTTCGATTACTCAATTACCAAGAGTATCTCGCCTGCACGGCAAAGCCTGGCTAGCTACCCGTGACATATTCGATATGCCAAACACAGTAACAAGTCTCCCAATGGAGATGTTACTGGGCCCGCTCGAGTAAATCGATGAACAACGGGAGGACAGTCCTAGAGTGCTAGTGTAGATTATTATTTACATATAAATATTAATGCTCTAAATAATTTTAAATTTATGATGCATTTTATATATAATTAGATAGATACTGATGTAGGCAGGTAAGCTAGGGAAGGGCTCCCCATAGCAATGAAATTCCTGGGGAACAGTAAAACCACCCAGTCATAAAACTGTCAGGACCCACTGTGACTACAGCAACTAAAGCCTGATAAGTCCATTCCCTGGAATTAGCCCAGACCAGAGAAAGCTGGACCCACACCCAGAGAGAAGCTCCAGTGGGAACCAAGGGCAAGAAAAGGAATTTCAAAGACCAGCCCAACTCTGCACCCCTTGGAAATCACCCTAGCAATGAACTCTTACCCAGGGAGAAGCCCCTCATGGTGAGGTGACTTAAGAAAAACCCTATAAAAACCAGCTGGAATAAAGGAAGCACTTGCATATGCTGATGAGCATGTGCTGCTTGCGCCCGTGTGACTGAGCACATGTGTCACCCGTATGTCCCCTCTTAAGGTGTGTATTTGTATGCTTTCATGTCTAATGCTGTAATGTGTGTAGCGGTTCTCTCCATCTTTGGAGAAGCTGGAGTTCTCTCTTGAGTGTGTTACTCCCACTTTTCTCCCCCTTCTTTCACTTCCTCAAAACCTCCAAATAAAATTTATTTTTATTTCACTGCTCCTCATCTCCTTTCTGTGAGATGGGACAACGACCTGGAAGCTGACCTGGAACCCTTGGGTAAGGCCTTGGACTGGCTCTCCTTTCCTGCAAAAAGCAGCTTTCTGCTCCAACTGGACCTGGTGACTCTCTGGGGAATTAGCTGGTAAGGATAAACTCCCATGCAGAGAAGACCAAGGAGGTATCAGGTATGCTTGATGGTCACTGGGGGGAACTGGTGGGGCTCTGGTCTGTGCTGTGCAGAGGTTCCTCACAGGTGTGATCAGTCCTAGCCTCCTAGGTGGTCCTGGTGTGGCAGAGGTGGATTTGGAGAAAGTGACCTAGTGACCTTCTCTCTCCTCTCCACTTCACATAAGCCACCCGTCTGCAATATCAACGTAGTATAATGAAAAGTTCTATAAATTAAATATAGAAGTTAAATATCTTGATTTTACTTTATCTTTTAACCTTAATTTTTATTTGTAACTAAGAAATTTATGGATTTATCTTATACGTGGTTTTATGTAATAAATATGTAATATTAAAATATATACATTATATATATGCGTATATATATATATTCCTAGCTGAAAATGGAGATCCAAATAGATCTCCTTCATTAAAAAAATAAACATCTGCTTTGGTTTTTAGAAAAAATACGTATTTACATAAGATGTAACTTTTAAATGGCAATTTTTACAATTAGAACAAATGAAATGAGTTAATAAATTTGTCTTTCAATGTTTATATATCTCAATGTTATCACCTCAATGTTCATATTCATTGTATATTTTGTACAAGTTTTAAAATATGAAATGACCATTATAACTATGCTTCCATGTGCAAACCAAAACACACACATATGTCTATATGTGTGACTTGTCTAGCTTAGATTTTTCACACTATGTTTATAAACAGATTGCATATGTTTATTGGTCTAGTTTCCTCAGTGGGGTATAAGGTACTTAAACATCTTCTGTTGGGTGTAGTTTTGCACACATTTGTTTTATCTCTATTATAGGTAAGAGAAATTACTGCATTCTAGAAGAACATTCAGAAAAGAACCACCTATGAATGGTCATTTCTGGTTGCTGACAGACAATATAAGAAGGAGGTATCTTTGTGATCAAAAGTTAGGATCACCTACCCCAAGAGGCAGTTCATGAAAGGCTTTGTAGAATTATAAATGTAAGAACTATTTTTCTAAAGACAAAGTTAAAACATTCAAGGCAAATAAATGTAAGGAAGGCATCTTAGCCAACGCAAGAATGTACATAGGAAAATATAAGCATGAAAAAAGGATGATGTGCATGGCATAACTAAAAGTCTGTGGATGTTTTAAAATGTTTAATGTAATGAGTGACAGAACTGAGAAAGTAGCTGGGCCGTCAAAATACATCAAAGCTCTGATTTGATTTTATTCTGATCAGTCAAAAAGAGGATTTCAAGCATTTCCCTGCTAACTTATGGTTGTATCTTAACAACAAGCACAGATAGTTGCTTGCCTGTTCCTCAACAATATCAGAAATTATCTCTGGCATTAACTAATTTTAAAAATTAATGAAATACAGAAGACTCACTACCAATGACATCCAGGTACAATCTATTAAGAAATCTAAATGAAGCTAAATATTAGATTCATATATAAAACTAGGTCTTTGTAACTAGTACTGAATCAATGATTAAGTGATGGTATGTCGTCTCTAGGTAGAGCTGCGAAAGAGAAAATGAAAGAATACAAAAGAGAGAGGAGGAGGATAGACGTGAGAAAGCAGAAGAGGAAGAGGAAAAGTACAAAGTAGCACAAAACTTAAGTCAAAATAATTTTTCTGGGTTGGACTCTTCATTGGTATCATTCTCGCTAGGCTCTTAGTCAATCTGCAGTAAACTCTTACCTGGGCAGGTACACTTCCACTTTTTGTTTCTTGACAGAGTTTGCCCATTCTTCTATCAGCTGCACTTTAAGCAGTGGTTCCAGAGTGGCCAGTGGAACTTCCTGTCTGGACAACATCAGCATCATACTCATCTCCTCTCCCTCATAAGGTATTTCTAGGACTTGGTAGATACCACCGGCTTCATTGGATCCATCACTAAATTCCCCTAAAACCAAAGGTGATAAAAGGATCATCTCTAAATTTAAACAAGGGGTTTTAATTTTTTATGACTGTATTCCAAAACTGTGTGCATAATATAAGAAATCTGGGCATTTAGAAATGAAATATTAATTTGAAAACAATTTGAAATTCAAGTTAATCCTCACTATACAGAATTTTTTAATTATAGAATAATTCTGAATGTCATAGTATGAACCCAGGATTTGATTCTTATTTTTACTGAGCTTTAAATTAGCTAATGAGGTCAAATGAGCATATCTGTAAATGAGGTCAAACGAGCATATATGTGAAGAATATTACTGGAAAAAATAAAATTCTATGGCTAGGTAAATAAAGCCCTGAGTTCAAGATGGATAAAAATCATATTTATAAATATTCACATAATTTCTAAAAAGGGAAAATATCTGTTTACTATTTTGATTACAGCTTGATTACAGCTTAGAGGTCAAGTTTGCACAGCCAGAGTAAAATCTAGACATTTCATAATAGTTGTGTGTAGTGTATTTGTGTCTGTGATGTTTTTGATATGTTCGTGTTGCGTAGTATTTATGATGACTAATACTTTAAAAGTAGGTTATTGAATAAAGTAGATAAGTGGCCTTGCATTCTATTCACTGTATCACTGTCATCCCATTGTTCGTCGATTTACTTGAGCAGGCACCAGTAATGTCTTTATTCCTCCCAGCCCTGAGCTTTTAGCAGACACTTCTTACTCATCTTTCCCAACAATTGGAGGCTCTTTCAGGGTCAGGAGAATGAGACCTGTTATCGTTACTGTTTTTGGCATATCGAATATGCCAGGGGGAGCTTGCCAGACTCTGCCTGTGCGGGCGGGATACTCTTGGTAGCTTGCCAGCTCTCCGAGAGGCATATATATATATATATATATATATATATATATATATATATATTTCTCTCTATGATTTGTTGCCTATTCTCTGAACCCCATCAAATATAGTGTGGTAATTATGGAAAGTGGTGGATAGAAAGTGTCTTATGATGTGTCGTTGCATTCTATTAACTTAGCTAAATTGAAGAGGTGTTTATAAAATAGTAAAACTATCTTTAAGACAAATAGACTTGCACTAGTTAAATTGTTTCATTTTGGGCATTAAAGGATAGTAAAGAAGATAGGCTACTTGTCCTGTACACAGCCCACCCTGATTCTGTCTATAGCACCCCAAATGGTCCCCTAAGCCCTGCTAGGAGTAATTCCTGAGTGCAGAGGTAGGAGTAAGCCCTGAGCACAATTTGATATGGCCCCAAACAATACTTTTTCTTTTTCATGATAACTTGCAATAAATAGTTTCTTATAATTGATCTATATTCATCAAACATCACACTAAGCACTTGAGTTATTATATAATGGGAATGTTTATTATATTTAATTAACAATCTGATTAACTGTGATAACAATCTTTTGATTTTCCAATCTTTTTAAAATAGAACAAGCTATTCTAACATATGTTTAGCTTAAAATTACATATCTACTTATGACTTAGGTTATTATAGTTCAACATATTGAGTAGGAATTATTAGCATTTTAATTTATAAAAAGTTAGTGAAACTTTGAAAATGCCAGTTTTAATAAGTTAAACTGTGATTGAGTAATTATGTCCATTTATTTACAAGTCTGACAGCAAAAGTCTGAGAGAATTCAAAAAGTGATGAGGAGTGAAAATCAAGAGCTAGAGACAACATATGGTTCACTACAAATCACCCTAAAGCTAATGACATCTTGGAGTAACTCAGAATATTCTTACAGGAGGTCAGAAATTTTCACATGAATAATGCTACTCTGGGTGGTGCGATTGCACAACAGGTAGGGCGTTTGCATTCCACGCCGCAGACCTGGCTAACCCGGTTTGATTCTTCAGTTCCTCTTGGAGAGCCCGGCAAGCTACCGAGAGTATCTCACCTGACGGCAAAGCCTGGCAAGCTACCTGTGATGTATTCAAAATGCCAAACACAGTAACAAGTCTCACAATGGAGACGTTACTGGGCCCGCTGGAGCAAATCGATGAACAACGGGAGGACAGTGCTACAATGCTACCCTACAACAATAAGCTTTATGAATTAAATAAACATTGAAAGTGTCTGTTTACATAATATTTATTCAGAAGCTAATTAGAGACTCTTAAAAATTTAGTCAAGAAAATGAAATTAGAATCCAATCTGGGGTCTGGAGCAATAGCACAGAGGGTAGGGCATTTGCCTTGCACTCAGAAGACCCAGGTTCAATTCCCAGCATCCCACATGGTCCCCTGAGCACCGCCAGGAGTAATTCCTGAGTGCATGAACCAGGTGTAACTCCTGTGCATGGCTGAGTGTGAAGAAAAAAAGAAAAAAAAAAGAATCCAATCTGGACTAACAAGCAATTTGAGTTATGCACAATTTATGTTCTTACTTTGAACTGTGAAGAAATGAAAGAGAAATGAAAATCAAAATATTTTACCATAATAATATTCTACATATTTTACCATAATAAAATTCTCCTTGTTGATACATCATTGGAATTTGGACTTCACTCTCATCATCTTTAGTGAAGGAAAAAGTTCTGGTATTTTCAGGTCTAAATTGTGACTTCCAATTCCCCTTGAAATACACAGCATTGATGAGGGCCAGGTGAGTGACAGGGTCAAAGTCCCTTGGAGATACCAAATCTTTCACTACATCTATTTTTTTAAAAAGAAATGGAAGTTTTATGTTACATTGGAATGTGAAAGGAGACAAAAGATGATCAACATTCATTTTTACAGAGTGACCCAGAAAAAAAAATATCACATACAAATTTGCAACAAAAATTCAAAGTACATTCAAAGGGGAAAAAATGTTGGATGCACACATTCACACACTTACACAATCTGCTATTAAGACTATCTAACCCAGACATCACCTATGATCATCCATAGCACCTATGACACACTTGAAGCATTGTGAGCAGGGCACAAACTACTGAACCACAATACCAAAAACAAACAAACAAACCCAGAATCTAAGGGTTCACTGTTTTCTAATTGCAATGAAGCCTGAGGAACTTTAAGAGCTAGAGCCCAACACACATTCCTAAGTTTATTCTTGAATGATATATACAGAATAAAGGTAAACACAATGTTATTATGATACAATTTAGACTCTGGCCCTGTAGTCTTTCAGGTATATTTCTACCAATAAAAAAGTGTTGAAGATGGAAACAGTCAAAATATATGTGATACCCAATTTAACTCAGAAGATCATGTTTTGAAAGCAATAGTGCTTTCGAAATGGTGCTATTTTGCACGAGATTCAAATGCTTTTGTTTTAAGTGTTTGAAAAGTTTGGAAACAATTTAATTCAATCTATTTCAGGTAGATTATTCATACTTATTCTTTAAAATTAAAAAAAGTTTATGTTATTCTATGTTTGAATCTGATTATTTAAAAAATTGCTGTGCAGCCCTTTCATCCCCTGCCCCAATGAGACCCCAAGTCGCCGCCCATGAACGGGCCCTCTGGCTACTGATCAAGCTGCTTAAGCCATGATCCCAGAGACTCAGAAATAAATCTCAGAACCCAGCAGCTTTGGGCAGAAATCCCTCCAGATTTAATTATTAAAAATTCAGAATTCCAAAATCTTTAGGATGCTATTGTGACCGCGTTACATTGTATGCTATTCTTAATCAGCAATAGAAAACAAATTGTCTAATGTTGTCTTTTTTGGCAGATCTGAGTGTTGGGGTAAAATCCCAAATAATAATTGTGGGTTGGGTGTCAAAATATTGAATGTTATCAAAGGAGAGAGCGAGAGAGTAATGTGGAAATCATCTGCCACACAGGTAGGGGGACGGTGTGGGATGAGGGGTATACTGGGGGTTTTGGTGATGGAAAACGTGCAATGGTGAAGGGATGGGTGTTTCGTCATTTTATAACCGAGATTTAAACCTGAAATCTTTGTAACTGCTCTCATGGTGATTCAATAAATAAATTAAAAAATTCTGTGTATTATCTCATTTTATTTATCAGTACTTTAGGGGAGAGGAGGTCCACCACACCAGCTATGCTCAGGGATTACTCCTAGCTCTGTGTTCAGAAATTACTCCAGCCTATGTTGGAGGGAGTTCTGGTCTGTTTTAATTATATTGTTGGGAGTCAGCACATATATGTGGTGCTTGAGATCAAATGAAGATTGGCATGTGCAAAGCCAACCTGTACTATCTCTCCATCCCCATTCAGTACTGTTTTAGGGTTTAAGAAGGTGAGGTATGGACCTGGAAACATAATACAGTTTAAAATAAAAAGCAAAAATGAAGGGCTAAATGGACTTCTTTTATTTTATTTTTATTTTTTTATTTTATTTTAATGTAGGAGTGTTGCTATTTATTCAATCATTGATTAGGCTGATTGAATTGGGCATGAACTCCACCTTAATTTTTTGTTGATTTTTTGTAAATTTATTTATTGAATCACCATGAGAGCAGTTACAAAGCTTTCTGGATTACGTCTCAGTCATACAATGATGAAACACCTGTCCCTTCATCAGTGCCCACTTTTGACCACTGAGTCGCCAGGGGAATGAGGTCAAGTCATGAAAACTACTCCCTCCTGGGGTGGCCCGGTGCCAGTAACCTACTGTGGGGACCGGATGCATTTCTGTCAAAAGCCAAGATTTGTTTCTGATTCTCTTGGATCATGGCTGTTAAGCAGCTTGATCAGGAGCCAGAGAGGCTGTTCGTGGGTGGCGACTTGGGGTCTTGTTGAGGTGGGGAGGAAAGGGCTGGCTCCACCCCCATCCCAGCCCCACGTGTCTCGTCACTGCGGGCCCAAACCTGACTGTAATCTTTTAAAAGAAATTCTACACACAATTTTTGATTACCAATCAAGTTCTGGGCTTAGGTCAACAAATACCTTTGAACACTCAGTTTTAACTTTCTTCTTCTGTTTTGTTTTAAATATATTGTTAATAGTCACCAACTACTATTTTAATTAGCATTTACTTATTAAAGTAGTTCAAGCAAAATTCCATATAGTGGTAAAATTATTATACAAAAGAAATTCATCATTAGAGAATACATATTTTCCATATTTTCCAGAAAACCATGACTTTCTCAAATATTTACTCATAAATATTTTTTCAAAACTAGACTTTGATTAGTTTAGAGAGATAACAAATGGATTAAGGTACTCACCTTCCATGAGATTGACCCTGATTTGATCACTGGGATAACATTTGATCCCTTGAACATATCAAAGAATGATCCTTGAGCTCAGGGTCAGGTATAAGTCCTGAGAATTCTCAAGTACAGCCCCCAAATTAAAAAAAATAGCAGTAATATAGACTGATCTTTCTAAAATAATTACTAAATGATCAACTGAATGTTATCTACAATACAAATACAAAAGGAATGAGGTGACATAATTTCAGAAATAAGAATACAACTAAACTCATAGAGAAAGAAAGGAAGAAAACAACATACTATTTGTGTTATTCTCCACCCACTTATTGATATAGTTAGCCACTGCAATATTTTGACTGAAATCCACATGATTTACTTCTGCATTAAAGTATTTCTTCACCAATTGCAAAAACTCATCATTCACATGAAATCCATTTTGCACAAAGAGGGAACTGGCAATTTTCATCACATGGTGACTCTCCTCAGTGGTTGCTGTGTTAGAAAAATCCTTCAAGAAAGAAAATTCTTCATCTGCAAAATAATAAAGGATAAATTTTCCAGTGGAACCAATATGGCAAAAAAAAAGGTGGAGAAAATGGAGGCAATACTAAAATGCTACAAGAAAGATAAATGGAACAGAGACTTCAGGGGAGAACAGCAACTTATTTCCCCAGTGACTGGTAAGAGGTTTCTAATAGTTTTTTTTTACATTTCTACATATTCACATTAACTTTTTGCTACTTAGGATTATCAATGGACATTTTTTTCTTAAACTGTTATCTTAATATCTACAGTTTTGGCTGTTTCCTTGCAAAGTCCTGGTGTTACTTTTATAAATTAATCTTATTTTATAATAAGCAGAGATAAGAATTAAGTATATCTGCTATGAAAATAAAAATACTCATTTATATTTCATAGACACTAAACTTTTAGCTTAATAACTAGAAAATTCATTACAAATTCCTTTAGTTCTTTTTTTTAAAAAGTTTTATTTTATTGAATCATCATGAGATAGTTACAAGCTTTCATGTTTGAGTTATAATCATACAATGTTCAAACACCCATCCCTTCACCAGTGCACATTCCCCACCACCAATCTCCCCAATATACCCCCCCCCTTTTCTAACCCTCCCACTGCCTCCATGGCAGACAATTTCCTACATACTCTCTCTACTTTTGGGCATTATGGTTTGCAACACAGATACCAAGAGGCCATCACTTTTGGTCCTTTATCTACTTTCAGCACACATCTCCCATCCTGACCGATCCTTCCAACCATCATTTTCTTAGTGATCCCTTCTCTATTCTAGCTCCCTTGTCCTCCCGCTCATGAGGTAGGCTTTCAACTATGGAGCAATCTTCCTGGCCCTTATGTCTACCATCCTTGGGTGTCAGTCTCATGTTATGTTATTTTATACTTCACAAATGAGTGCAGTCTTTCTATGTCTGTCCCTCTCTTTCTGACTCATTTCACTTAGGATGATACCCTCCATATCTATCCACTCATAAGAAAATTTCATGATGTCATCTCTCCTAACAGCTGCATAGTATTCCATTGTGTAGATGTACCAAGGTTTCTTTAACCAGTCGTCTGTTCTTGGGCATTCGTGTTGTTTCCAGGTTCTGACTATTGTGAACAGTACTGCAATGAACATAAAGGTACAAATCCTTTAGTTCTTTACTTCTGTGTGCTAAGTGTATATAAAGAATAAAAATAAAAATAGTCCATGGGGTCTATGTGATTGCAAAATAACATTTGGCTAGAAATTATTCCTATATATAATTTTTATGATAATATACTTCAAAAATATCAGATGACCTACAAGTATTCAAGATACACTTATTAAACAAAATAAACCTTTCTGATATTCTTAGAGAATCATATTTTCTTATAACATTTGTCATGTTAACACTACTCATTTATTTATATGTTATTTGTTAGCAATTGCCCCTTCTCTCTAGATTGGAAACTCCAGAATAAGAATCAATGGAACCATGTTTTCTTTTGTTTATCTTAGTGGCTTTTACTTAAATATAGCACTGCACTGTAGCACTGTCCTCCCGTTTTTCATCAATTTGCTCAAGCAAGCCCAGTAATGTCTCCATTGTGAGACTTGTTGTTACTGTGTTTGGCATATCGAATACGTCATGGGGAACTTGCCAGGCTCTGCCATGCAGGCGAGATACTCTCGGTAGCTTGCCGGGCTTACATATAATGATAGTTATGTATGAAATTTCCTAAAATTCACTTAGCCTGGGATAGTCAGGAATTATCACCTTTCTTGATTTTCTAAATTCTTCTCCTGTGCTATACCATTTCAATGATATCACTTTCTTACCCTGAGTAAAATATTTCTGCCTCTGGCATAAGAAAACATAACCTATTGAAAGGCAACATCAAGCCATCTTGAGAAGTCAAACTTAAACACACTTACTGTCTTTCAGGCTGTCATATCCCATTGAATGACGGATTTCTTTGAGGGTAGATCCTTGAGCCCCTAGTTCCATAATGCCCATTGCGAGGGCTATGCTCAGTGGAGAGAAAAGAATATTTTCATCATCCCCAGCAGCTCGGAGATGATTGTACATGTTCACTGAAAAATCAGCAACAGCTTCATCAGGAAAAGTAGCCCCTGATGTCATACTTTGCAGAACAAGCAAAGAGAAGAGTCCAAGGAAAGCCATGTTGGAATATTTTCAAACCTGAAAGATATTAATTTATATATCAGTTATTAATTATCTCCCTATCGGAGAGCACAGGAAGCTACCGACAGTATCTCACCCACACGGCAAAGCCTGGCAAGCTCTCCGTGATGTATTCGATATGCCAAAAAACAGTAATAACAAGTCTCACAATGGAGATGTTACTGGTGCCAGCTCCAGCAAATTGATGAACAACAGGAGCACTACAATGCTACGGTGCTATTAATTATCCAATAACTCAGAAAAAGGGGTAAAATTTCAAAGTCATGAATTATTACATTCTTTGGTTCTTATTTTTGTTCTTGTTTTTGCTTTGGGGATATAACTGGCTGTATACAGAGACCACTCCTGACAGGAATCTGGGGAACTTATGAAATGCCGAGGATTGAACCTGGGTCAGCTGCATGCAATACAAACTCCCTTCCCACTGTCCTATTGCTTTGATTCCCACAAATCATTTCCTGATAAAGTTATAAAGCAAGCCAAAAGTATCTTCTTTTCATTTTTTAATTGGATCACCATGAGCCACTGAATTACAAAATTATTCATGATTGAGCTTCAGGTGGGCTGGAGCAATAGCACAGTGGTAGGGCATTTGCCTTTCATGTGGCCAGCACAGCTGACCCGGGTTCGATTCCTCTGCCCCTCTCAGAGAGTCCGGCAAGCTACCGAGAGTATCTCGCCCACATGGCAAAGCCTGGCAAACTACCCGTGATATATTCGATATGCCAAACACAGTAACAACAAGTCTCACAATGGAAACATTACTGGACCCGAGAAAATTGATGAACAACAGGAGGACAGTGCTATAGTGCTACAGAGTTTCAGTCATACAATGTTCCAACATCAACACTTCACGGGTTATCCACTTCTCTCCACCAATGTCCCCAGGTTCCTTCCGACTGCTGAGACTGCCTTTATGGTAGGCATTATTTTCTTTTACCTTTTACCTTTTCTAACCCCTTCAACAACTGTGGTTTACCATATGCCAAAAGTTTTAAACACACGGAGAATTTCTTTATAACAAAAGCCATATTAAAGTACATGATAGATAGCCCTATTTTTTGTTTGTTAAATGAACAAATAATATTGCTTAGTTCTGAAGAATCAGAAATAAAATTTTCTAGTCCCAGATCCACAGGGTTTTATATAAAGTCTAAACAAACTCCACAGGTATGTATAGAAATATATAAATATATATATATAATTATAGGTCATATCTAACGTGACTGATTTGTTAATTTTACATAGGTTCATCATATATATTGTAGTCATGGCTGTTAAAAAGTTCAGTTAAGTTTTCAGTCAACAATGAAGGCTCAGGACAACTACTGGGAGATTTCTTTACATATATTATGTATAATATATATGTATTATTTATATTATGTATACACATTTAGTGTTAACATGAATGAGCAAACTTAGATATTCCATAATGGTTTTATGTACTGACTATAATTTATTCAATGTATGCTCCATGCAGCTGGGTTAGCAACCAGTGGTGAAAGATCAGACCCGTATCTGTCACAAGCCCTAGTGTATTGGCCCAGGATACAGAAGCCACAGGAAGTGGCAATTAGAGACACAGCACATCCGTGTGCGGTTCCCCACGCACATGTGTTCGCTCCCTCTGACAACTAGCTGGCAGAAGAAGACCCATAAAATGCTGTCATTTTACACTGAGGCATATGTTAATATTTCAGCTTCTGCCAATGAACATGATTCTATTTAAGTGAATACTTTAAAATATCAGGATCGTATATTTTTAAGCAATTTTCTTTTGAAATGAGAAAGCAGTACTGGTGTCCAGATATCTTTGAACACAAGACAGAATTCCCTCTTTGAATTTATTTACGTTGTTCATTTGAGGTGCTCAAAGGTTAATCCTGGTTTATGCTCCTGGCAGTGATTGTGGAGGAATGCGGGGTGTTCAGGATCAACTCCCAAGACTTCAGCATACAAAGCATGTGCTCCAACCGTTTAGATTTTCTCTAGTCCTTTCTTTTTCCTTTTTATCTTGTCTGCCTATTTTATTCCGACATTTGTTTTATCACTGCAGGCAGCTAAAAGCTAAGCCATTCATTCAAACAATTGAGTAACTTCTTTTTATAAAAAACATCTTTAAAACAACATATAGAGTAATATCAAACAAACACATCAGCAAAACTGTGTTTTAATTAGTGTGGGTTATTAACAGTCTCTGAGACTCTGTTAACAGAGTACTTGGGGGTAGGGGAGAGGTTGGCCTAAGGGCACAGTTTTCTGCAAACTTTGGAGTTAAACATCCTGATCGGTTCTGTAATGTTTCTAATTTAAATTTCAGAGTTTCCTGAGCAACTTGTAAGTGCTTCACATTTTGGGGGGCAGTTTTAGGGATTAGATTTTTTGGCAGGGAGTTTCCAGATTTCCAGTTACCCCAAACTCTGCTGTATTAAGGTTGAAGTAACTCTCACTTGTCTAGGCAGGGAAGATTCTGTCTGTCTGTAAGTATAGGTTCTCAGATCCTGCACTGTGAGGAGGTAATGAAGGCTGCTCTCGGGTGATCAATACAGAACTGTGGTTGTCATGCTTGTAGCCATGCAGAAACCAGATGCTGGGAGCACAGATGCCTTGCTTAGTATACCAATTTGCCACCTGAGGAGAGACTGCTATGGCATTATTGTTTTCTCTATATTCTAGGGAAAACCAGGAAAAAGTGGACAAAGAATAAGTAGAGCCTTCTCTTAAGATTCAAATAGAAATTTAGCAGCTACCAAAGTTGGAAAAAATTTTTAGATGCAATACTATTTTGTGAAATGTTAAAATCCAAGAGAGATCCAAAATATATATACATTTATATAAGTATATAAATATATAAACATATACACATTGTCCATATATACATTGTTATTGCCATCATACAGTCCAATTTAACTCCCCCCAGTAAAGATCCAGACCTGAGCCTGGATGAGGTCAATATTCTCATTTAGTATTATTCAGTACAAACCAAGAAATTGAAGGCGCTATATGTTAGAAACAACTGTCAGCCAATAACAAGTAATTGCAAACCATGTCCATCAAGTTTCTGTAATACAAAGATTTCATTTCTGCAAAACAAAACCTAGCTATTGCCAACCAGTATGCATTACAGAAAATGAGACTAAGTTTATGACATAGGCAATAAAATTATAAGTGAGAGATATAATAGGGAAAGAAAAGATATTTTCATCTTCCCCAATGGCTCCAAATAGTTGTGTGTTCACTTAAAAACAAACAAACGTGGTTTGACCCCCTAGCACTGCTTTTCATTTCCTGAACACTGCTAGGAGGTCCCCTTGAGCTCAGAAGCAGGCAGAAGCCCTTACCACCACCAGATATGCCCCTCAAAAAGAATGTCACCCCAAATTAAAAAATAAATGAATGAAAGATAATAACAGCTCATTTGATGTGACCTCCAAAAGTCACATGCATTCTCTCAGTATCGCTTTCTTGTTCATAAAATGAATATACTCAGTCCTGCACAATTATTTTCCTTTATTTGGGTTTGGGAGTTACACTTAACTGTTCCCAGGGCTTACTCATGCTGTGCACTCAGGATCACTCCCCGTGGAAATCATATGAAGTACCAGGATCAAATCTGAGTCAGCCACTTGCAAGACTAACACCCTACTCAAGGCACTATCTCTCTGACTCTGTATAGACATTGGTAATATAAATTAATTAAGCATTGGCCAGTGAAATTAAGCAGTCATTAATTGAGAAATTTGACCAACTCAAAGAACTGATTCAGTGAAAGAGTCAGTGGTGTGTTGATCTTTAAGCTTTTCCAAAATATTGAAGAAACAGGAATTACTCCTAACATCTTCCCTCCACTAAAGTTCCTAATCCACGCCTCTATTCCTCCCCTATGCCTCTTACTTCCCCCTCAATTTTTTTCCCACTGTCCTTCTCATTTTTATTATCTAGAGTTAAGGATAATCTCAGGTATCCTCTCTTTGATGCCTCGCATTTTCTTGTCCTGTTAATTCTATATAGTACAGATGAATTAGATCAACCAGCATCTGTCCTTCTGACTTACTTCATTTAACATGATATATTCCAGTAACAACGAATTGCAGCAAACTGTATAATTTCACCATTCCTTGCATCTCCGTAGTATTCCATTGTGCCAAATACACATATATACATCTATCTATCCATCCATCCATCCGTCCATCCATCCATCCATCCATCCATCCATCCATCCATCCATCCATCCATCCATCTCATCCACACCTTCACTATCCCATTTGTTTGTTTTTGCTTTTTTTTTTGTCAGTGGAATCTTTTAATTTAATTGAATCATCCTGAGATAGTTACAAGCTTTGGGTTACAATCACACAATGATCAAACACCCATCCCTCCACAAATGCACATTCCCCTCCACCAATATCACCTGGTATATCCTCCTTTTCCCACCCTCCCCCTGCCTCCATGGCCGGCAATATTTACCATACTCTCTCTCTCTCTCTACTTTTGGGCATTATGATTTGCAATACAGATACTGAGAGGTTATCATGTTTGGTCCATTATCTACTTTCAGCCTGCCTCATGAGCGGAAGGGAGAATGCAGTTGGAATAGAGAAGAGATCACTAAGAAAATGATGGCTGGAGGAATTGGTTGGGATGGGAGATGTATCAGTGGAATCTTATCGTTGAAATAGACTTTTATCTTTAAGGAACTCATATCATTGTGCAAGAGTATGTGATTTTTGACAGCAGTTCTTACTTTTGCATTTTTTTTGTTTTGTTTTGTTTTTTTCCATGTATAGCTGGGGATAAAACCCAAGGTCTCCACATGCATTACTTTACAATAGGCTAAGCCCCTCACTCAGTTTTTAACTTTTTAAGAAAAGAGATTCTCTTCAAAATTAGGGGTCGGATAAATAACCCCTTCAGAAAAAAAATCTATGCATATAAAAACAGAAAATTATATTTAGTTATCAAAATGACAACTGACTACAGGTTAGGAATTCGT